AGCCTTCCAGCCTCCTTAACGCTGCCGCGCTTCAGTCAAGCGCAGGCTTCTCCCGTGCTTCGCCCCCCCGCCGTGTGCTCCTTAATGCTAGGCCAAGGGGAAAAGTTTTTTTGGGTAACGACTTTTGCAGGAGGGACAGTTTATCTAAAGGCTTATCTGTTACCGATCTATACACTTGCTTTTGGTAACAAAGATTTCCTATCCTGCTTGTTTAAGTGTCCTTGCTTCCCCCTCAATGCTCATTAACTTATGTAGTAGTTTGCTCTTCAGTGTGGTAGAGGTTAACTAAAAGTAACTCTGTCTCTTCAGATACTGATGTAGGATTGAGGAAAAGAAGAGATGCGGTCGTAGATCTCGAGCAATATTAACCCAAGGCCAGTGGGTCAGAGGGTAAGAAGAATCAATTAATTGCTTGATTTTGATTTTAAGTGAGGAGAGGAAGGAGTCCTGTACAAAAGAAGCACTCATTTCTGTCTGCAGAGCAAATGAAGAAAGGGAGTATTTGGAGTGGCTGTTTCCGTAAGGGCTTGGGTAAGAAGAGAAGAAAAAATAAAGGGAGAACATCCCACCAGACAGGAGTTTGGGAGGCTGAAGCGCTGCGCTTCTTGGGGGGGCAGGGAATTGCCAAAGAGCTGGATGAGCCAGGAAAGTTGCAGAGATGACAGACGGGGGAGAGGCTGTTCACATTTTGTAAAAGTGTGACTCAGACTTGTATGTGGTAGAGGAGAACCAGGACTCATTAAAAGAGATTTTGGAATTTATTAGTTACAAAGTAAAAATTACAATTAATTTTTATTGTGATTTTCAGGATTGGGAAGTGATTGATGATAGTGTAAATGGAACAAGTATTTTGAACTACTGTTCAAGAGTTATTTTTAATTTAGGGTAGAGTCTCAGTCTTAAAATAGTCTGTATCAATAGGATCTTTCAGCCCTGATTTCAAAATTGTAGCTGCTACAATAAAACAAGTCTGACATTTATTTTGTTTTCAGTATTATGTATGGATATTGAACCTTCTTTGTTTGTTTGTTTTACATTTTCACGTGTAGAACTGAACATATTTGCTTTCTAAAGTGGTATCAGTGACTGTCAACCTTAGCAGCAGAATTAGACTAAATACATAAAATAAACAATCCAGAATCTTTGTATTGGATTTTAAAGTTAGGCCACTTATTTTACCAGAAGATGTCGCTGTGTTTAGTAGCAATTAATTACAGAATGGGTTTTGAAGGATGTGAGGTGACTTAAAAAAATATGAAAAAAGAATAATTAAATCTTTGCTTCAGAGGCCAAGGACTGAGAATAAAGCATCGGACTTCATGTGGTTCATTATGATGTTGTGGTGATTTAATTAGTCACAGCTGTTGGCATACACAGCTTACATAAGAATGTCCACTTTCAAACATCCTTAATTTTTACTTTGAATTAGTTAATGTGGTAGAGTGAAAAGCTTGAAAACATGAATCAAAAAGCACTTGGAAGCCTAAAAAAAGGAGGTGTAGATGGATATAACCAAGATCTGCTATCTAAAAGACTCCATATTATAAATTGATCCCATGAATTTGAGGAACTCAATGATTTGTAAGCACTCAGGGTTTACAGACTGAACATGCTGATGTAGAGGAATGTGACTTCTTCATTAGACGTTTTGCTTTGTCTTGCCAAAATAGTTTAAGAATGTTAATACTTCTGTTATCAATAGCTTCTACACATTGACATGTTGAAGGTGCTAAAGTATTTTGTTTAAATACAGTACTCTATATGCTATGGCAAAAAATGTTAAAGTAATTTTGCTCACTGGTGGTAGACGAGTTTTAAATAATTCCGCTTTGAAAAGTTGCAAGCTGCTGTGGAATTAAATGCTAAAAAGCTGTTAAAAATTACGGACAGTTAAAAGCTACAGGAAGTATTTCTTATGCTTGAAAGTGGGCATTTTGAGTAGTTACAGTAAATGTATTCCATTTCTGAGCTGCCTAATTTATGAAAGCTCTGCCTCCCATTTGTACAAGATTACAAACAGGACAAATTACCAAGTGACCAGCCAATGCAGCTGTTAGTGAAAGCCTAGAGAGTATAGGCCTGATTAGTTAAACGAGCTGGATCGTTGCCATTTCAAAGGATTCAAAATTAAAAACAAAAACATTTTGAAAATAAATTACATGCTTTAAAAGAATGCAAGAAAAGAGATTTAAATGGAAGTAAAAGATTAAGAATGCTTTAAAGATGCAATGGACTGTATCGTAGAAATAATATGATAATTTGATAGGTGATGATAATATGATAGAGAATTATGCTAATCCATTTTAGGAAAAACAAAGGCAGCTTTACAAGTAATGGGAAATATCTCTTGGCTCATTATGAACCTATTCCTACGCTTTGTAAGTGAAGGATATTTCTGACTTATTTTGAATATTGTACTTGTCAGTTTATCTTTCTCTGTCAGAGCTCCATTTGAGTATGCAGTTTTGAAGCTTCACACCATGTTTCCACTGTAGTGCGTGCAAGTGTCTGCTACTTGCTTAACTGTTTAGAGATGTAGGTATTATGTAGGATATATGGAAGTATGAGGAATTTACCTGTTTTTAAATAAACCTGTAAACAAACAGTTTATAAAATTTTCCAACCACAATAATTTACCGTTAGAAAGGGAATACGTATTCAGTGTTTGTCTGATCTTCTTTCAGGCATTTAGAATCACAGATACGTTGGCTGGAAGGGACTTCAGAGGGTCATCTAGTCAAAGCTTCTGCTTGGAGCAGGACAATTGCTAGCACTGGATTAGGCCAGTCCCAGGTGTAGATCATTGTACTTCAAGTTCATGAGGTTTCTGTTTTCCAGTCCTGCAGTTTCTCAGTGCCCCTTTGAAGTGAAGCTCTACCATTCAGCATGTCAACCATCCCTCTAATTTAGTATCATCCACAAGTTTGCTGATGGTATGTTCTGTCTCATCATCCAAGTTACTGATAAATTTATTGAACTATATCAGCCCCAATATCAACCCCAGGATACACTTACTGTTACATCAACTGAAGCAACTTGAAGCCATCAAGCCTTCAAGTTTCTCTGCCCACCCAGCCAGTTTTCAACCACTCCCACAGTCCATCTGGCCTCAGCTTCCTAACATGTGTTGTAGGAGATGGTGTCAAAAACCACAGGATAGTTGAGGTATATTGTATCCACTGCTGTCTCCTTAGCTGTGTGACCAGACGTTTCATCACAGTAGGTTTTCAAATTTGTCAAACAGAATTTGTCCTTGGTAAATCTGTGTCGAATCTCCCTGATTACTTTCTTAGCTTTCACACAACTAAGGGGACAAGCTCTGAGCATTTTTCGAGAGGCTGAGGTGGTGCTGACTGGTCATAGGTGCTGCTTCTTGCCTCTCTTAAAAATGACGATGCATTAGTTTTTTCCAGTCAAATGGGGACTTTCTCTGATAACTGTTTTTCATAGGCAATAGACAGTTGCCTCACAAGCATGTCAGCTGTGTCTCTTAGCAACCTTGAGTGTAACCCATCTGGCTCTGTGCATTTGAATACATCCAGCTTCTCTAAGCAGTTGCTGGCCCCACTCCTACTTACCCCTCTCCTTCCAAACACTACTGGTATAAGCAGAGGTCTGGGTGCAGGCTTTGCCTGTGAAGACTGAGGCAAAAAAAGTGTTGAGTACTTCAGCCTTTTCCATATCATCTGTGTTGTCAAGACAAAGTTGTCTTCCCCTTCAATCGATCAATACACATTTTCACTTAACTTCTTTATGATACTTTCATACTTTTAAAATTCCTTCTTGTTACCCTATATGTCTATTGCTAGTTTTAGCACCAGTTGAGCTTTGGCCTTTCTGATTTAATGGAAATAAAGGATGAAAATAAGCCATGTCAAACAGTGAGTATTTTATGTAACAAATATTTATATGGATTTTTCAGGAGCTGGTGATTCTGAAGACCGCCCAGTTATCATGGCTCATGCTACTGTTTATGTGGGTTTTACTGTTCCTCAATTACTGAGAGGTGCTAGCAGAATTTTTCCCACTCATCCTGCATTGGTGGTGTTGAGGCACTCTGCTTTTTGTTACTGCACAACGAACGGGTAGGTTATCTATCTGCAAATGCTGCTCTTTTTTTTTAAAGAGAATGTCATGATAACACTGTCAAAATGAAGCTGACGAATGATTATAGACCTATAAATACTTATTTAACTCCCAGTTGTATATGTATATTTAATTCTTATTTAGATTTATGTCACCTGGAATGTAGACTGGATTACACTGGCAAATTGTTATGTTAATAGAAATTCATATCAGTAAGGGACAGTAGCACAGTTTTCAAAATGGCAATTCTCTTTCTTTGCTTTTTGTTGCAGCACAATAAAATCAAAGAGGAAAATGGATCATTTAGAGAGGACAGCAAATAATTTTCGCCAGGAGGTTAGTGTTGTGTTCTTTAGGATGTAATTTTTTTTGGTGTGAAGAAACTGGATAATTGTATTTGATTCTTAGGCTTCATTTTCTCTTCTACTGGAGTCTGTTTTACTTCTTTTGCTCCTCCTTTTTCCTATTTGATATTGTTGTAAAGTAGGTCTATTTTGTGGTCAGTGGGTGAAATGTAATGAGTTATAAAAACTGTTGGTGACATGTGATGCTGTTTATGTTGGACAAGAAATTTAATGCAATTCTGGTAAAGTGTGGATTATGGTAAGTAATGAAAGCACACCAATACCCATCATCTCTACACAGGCTTCTCAGATTTTTATGGGTTTCTACAATTCTGATTCCAATTTGAGATTAAAAAATGTGGAAAATGTCCTTTTATAACACAGGAGGTAACATAAAAAGTGTAGAAATTTTAAAGGGCGTAAAAATATCCTTGTAAAAAGGATCTTAGTTTGTATCTATTTTAATTCACAAGAACAAGGAAGATAGAGCATGGTTCTCCATCAAAATCCAGAAATGCTTATTCTGGATCTGAGTTTTGTGTAGTGAGCATTCTTTTTCATAATGTTCAGAGGTGAACATACTCATGTAGGTATTTCTTTTCTGTAATTAGCTAAAGTAGATATTTTGAAATTTTTAAATACTGGGAGAATATGACTTCAGTTCTCAAAAACTTCACTAGTGAAACAGTTCTGCATTTTTCTTAGTCTTTTCAAAAGTACAGCATTTTTTTGACTGAAAAATCCCATCTTTAATTCCCAGGAGTTGGGAAATGGTGCCCAATTTTTCTCCATTGTTCAGTTTGCTTCTCTCAGTCTTGAGCAGCCGTTCATGACAGGCCAGTCCTGCATGTATCACACAGCAGAACAAAACTGTATGTTCTCAAACACACTACACAGATGTTAATATGCATATTTGTGCATAATTAAGTCCTTCTCTAGGTTTTTCCCTAACTACAGTTGAGAATAAGTGACAGGCCAAGTGGATTCTTCTCAAAAGGAAGCTGGGTGGAGGGGATATATAGAACCCCAAAACTGAAGATTCGGCAGTTGTGACATAGGCTGTAGATGGATGAGACAAATGCAAGCTCGTTCTGCCTGTTCCCAGAGCTGTCAGGGTGTGAGCCAGCTTTGGGAACCACGTGTCTCGGAGCTGTGCCTCAGCTATTCACACCTAATGTCAGCTCTTACCTGAGTGCAGATTAGCATTGCTTGTGGACATACAGCTGCTCAGATCCAATTTACGCCAGATTAACTCGGTACATGGACAGAATGAGTATAGACACAGGTACAGACAGATGCACATTCTTCTTTGCTTCTGACATGAAAAAATGATTGCACTTTTGAGTTTTGCAACCATGTTTTTTTTTATCTTGGATATTTCTGATTGCTTGGCTTGCTTACTTTTTCTGCCCAACATAAATGCTGGGTAGCTGGAAATATGTGGAAAATGGGTACTTATGAGGTGTTGGAAGCTCTGAGGTGGTACAGGGAACTGTGTAAGGTCTGAGGAAGAGCAGGAAGCTGTATGGGATAGGTGAAAGAGAAGGGCTCAGTTCTGCTACGGCACATTCTCTGCATATCAGAGGGTTATGCTGTTTCTTTTTTTAATGCTTGATTTATTCTTTGTTACTTTATTTCTGACCACTTTAAAATAAGTTTATTTTAAATGCTCTGCTTGGTTTTAAATTCCATATAATCAGCAGCTGGCTTCCCTCAGTCTGTATTGCCTTATTTGGCCATTTCAGTCCTGTAGAAAGATGAAAGAATCATAGGTCTGTGTTGCATTAGTCTGCATGCTACACGGTATTGCCTGTTGAAGAGTGGTAATGTGAAGAACCAGGGCAAGAAAAAGTGCCTAACACTTTCTTGAAATACAATGGCAAAATCTGGAGTCCTGTGTCCTCCTTCCTCTCACTGCAGCCTTGCTCTGGGTCAGTCGGATACTCTTGTGATGGCCCAAAATACTGGTTGAATGTCTTTGATCACCCTGACTCAAATTCAATTTTTGTAATAACTTTATACTGATTAAAAATTAAATTTCCAGTGCTCTGTCAGGTATCAGCCAAAGAACAAATTAGGGAGCGTATTGAAGAGTAAAGAAGGGAATGAAGAAGATCCAAACTTAATGTCCATTTCCTGCACTTAAGGTTTTTCCATCAGAACGATCATTTAAGACGTGTCTGACGTTTCTCTTGTTAGTTTAGAGTGATTGCATTCCCCATTTAATACAGTCTGCTAAAGTGGAAAAGAAATGTATGCTACTTTATTTTAAATTGGCAAATGTCCTGCTGTTTAATGGGACAGTGGACGTGTTCAGATGTTGCTTTACGAATAAATTAATTTCCTGCCATGTGTTTTAAATTAGAGCTTAGTTGCTTAAAGTTTAATTTTTTTTATCTGTTTGATCTTATACAAATGAGAAATGGTAGAGTTTTGGTGGTATTATTAGTATTTCCTAGTGTGGTAAATGACATCAGCATTTTTTATCAGTAAAATCTGTATATTAGCCTGTGTAGAAAATATTTAGGGCATTACTTTCTTTGTAGAGGAAAAAGGTTAATAATTATAACTCAAAAATACCTGAAGAGGAAGGGCAAGGAGGGGAGGGGATGAAAATCCATGTTGTACTGATGGGCATCAGAGAGTTTAAGTGGGGAGCTCCTCCCCAATGGTGCTGTTGCAAAATCTGCTTTTCATTTAGAAAAGCATCATTTTTCTTTTTTTTTTTTTTTAATCTCTTTAAAAGTGGTATCAACTATGGCTGTTACATCCCTTCCCATCTGGTTGCCAAACAAAAACTCTTCTGTTAACTAGCAATGAATGTTTGTGTCGCTGTTTCCCTGTGTTCATAGATCACGTATGTGGTCAAATGGGTATGTGTCTAAAAGCAGTAACACAAGGTTTGTTGGTTTTATTTCATTAATGCATAATCTTTCAGTAATGCATTTAATTACTTAATACTAGATACAGATCCAGAATTCTCCCTGGGACTTCAGTAGCAGCTGATCTTTTATAAGTTTCCTTTGTCAGTCTTAATATCAGAGATCTTTTTACTTTGTTGCTGGAAAGATACAGGAGTGTTTGCCTTGTATAGATGTCAAAAGAATCTGAAAAGTGGTAACTAGCAATCACTTCTCTTTATCGTTATGTTCTCTTCAACTGAAATAAAATAAGTTTGTATATAATCTTAGAATAACCCTGACAAAAGTGACAGACATGGTGGACTGTGAGTAGGAAACTGTTTCTCCGTTCAGTGTCGATGTAAATGAACCAATTTTTGTTTCTATACCCCAGTGAAAAAATACTGGTGCTTTAGGTAATGAAATGCTGCAGGTAACATGCGAAGCGATAGATACCTCATGCGCAGATTCTTGAGTGCTTTTGCTGCAAATGATATCTACGTAACACAATGGCTTATTTTCCTTTCGTTAGGTAATTTCACAAGCAAAAGTGTGTGGAATCACCAATGAATCAGAGACAGTCAAAAGACTTCGTTTGGCTATCGCAAATAAAGATTTTACTTTCAAAGCAGGACAGTGGTAAGATCTTCTGATATTTGAGGGGAAAATTACTAGCAGAAGTCCACTATAACAAAATGTTAAAAGGCCTCTGATACTTAAGCCGTGGAAAAAATAGTTAATTTATATAATATGATGTTTTATTTTAGGGTGCTGTGTGAAATAGCTGATATTTAGCGTAATTTTAAAATAGCTGCTATTAAGTGTGCTAATATTAATTTTAAAAGGGCAAAAATCTGTATTCTTTAAATGTTCGGTTTGGTTGTTTTGGTATTTTCCTCTGGTTTATGTAAATTACACTGTTTTTTCAAGAGTCCTTTGAAGTACACTGCACTTTATTTTGCAAGCTGTCTTCACTGTCTTTATTTAGTAGGTATCTTTACAGTGGAGCCGAGACTGCTGATGATTTGCAAGTTACTTAGTTTTGGTTTATAATTAAATCAGAATTGTCTGTTAACTTTTATTTCTTCCACTAGAAGTTTCCACTCTGAAAATAAAGCCTGTTAGGTCAGATTAATATATAAATACAGATAGACAAACTTGAAAATAAAAAACCATGAATTATTAAGCCTTTGAAATAATTAGCTGTTTGTTTAAGCAACCTTACAGCTTTTTTTTCAGGGAAATAGTGGATTTTCACGTTTGTCTTCTTTCCTTTTTAAAAATACTCCCATTCAATCACTTTTTTTTTTCTTTTAAAAATTAATTTAAAACTAGGAGTAGTTGCTTTTGACATTGGTCATTTAAATGTTCTTAAACTTTTTATTGGCGTAGGCCATCTGAAAGTGGTTTTGCTAGAATCAAAGTATAGCTGCTAGGGTATTAACAGCATATGTTACTCATGTAGTGTTAATATGCTGGCTTTTAAATTTAGACCCAGAACACAAGATGTTGATTGCAATAATTTGTTTGTGGAGTAATTTGCTGCAGTTTTTGCACATGTGCAGTGACTCATATTAAATTCTTGCTTGCCAGTACTTGGAAAGTGCATTTACCCTCCAAAAATGTTTTAGAAATTATCATGCTGAGAACTGAAAGCTTTAATTATAATTACTCTTTTTCATTTTCTTCTTCCTTGAAAGTATTCTAATGCTATTGTAAGGGATACAACAACTTTTCTATACTTGTAGCTATAAACTGTGGTTGCATTTTTTGATGAGCAGTACAAAACACCAGGCCACAATTTCCTGAGCAGAAAAGGCTAACTTGTTAGAATTTGCTATAGGAAGATGTTGCAGCCAAAGATTGTCACTAAAATGTATGTATTTTTTGAAAGTGTTCCAGTTATCAAGTTTTTCGGAAGCAAAAGTGAATTTGTTTTGCAAGCATGCTGGCAGATATTGGTCTTTATCTGACTTCAAGTAATAATGAAGAGATTTGTTGCTGTTACACATTTTGATTTATTAAAACATGCATTGAGGTATATGCATGTTATAAATACTTTGAAGAAGTAGCTTTATGGTTTTAATGTTTCTGATCTCTTCCTCCAGCAATTGCTAATGGTTGTTCTTTTCTTAAAGATTTGGCTTAGGTAGCCTTTAAAAGGAGGGAAATGAAAAACCACCATAAGATCTCTGTTTTACATCTTTTTGCGCCTCTCCTTGTTGTGGGTTTATATAGTTTTAGGTTTTTTTTTCTTTTTTTCCCTAC